TTATATGTTGTAAATTGTAATAAGCCTTAAGATTTCTTACATTAAATATTTTAGAAATCTTAAGTGCTTAGAGATATTTGTTAAGGTGATTACCATGTACCTCTGATAATTGTATCAAATACACCCTATTTTCTATTCTGCTAAACATGATTGTTTAGTAGTTTAGATAAAGCTTTTTGCTATGTGCTTGAGCAGTAAAGTCTCTTACTGAGAAGCTTGAGCCAAGTAAGTCTCCTACTATGTGCTAAAGTATTGAAAGTCTTAATCAATTATTGATTGAACAGAAGTCATGAATTCGTGGAATTTAAGCAAGGAAGTCTTGGACTGTGAGTCTGAGCAAGGAAGTCTTGAGCCTGAGGGGCTTGAGCAGAAGTCTTGGGTTTATGGAACCTAAGCAAGAAAGTCTTGACTTCGTGGAACTTAAGCAAGAAAGTTTTGGGCCTGGGGGGATTGAGTAGAAGTCTTGGATTCGTGGAATCTGAGCAGGGAAGTCTTGGACCGAGGGTCTGAGCAGAAGTCTTTAGTCTGGGGGGCTTAAGCAAGGAAGTCTTGAATTCGTGGAACCTTAGCATAAATCTTGGACCTGAGGGGTTTAAGCAGGAAGCCTCAGGCTGAGGTTCTGAGCAAAGAAAAGTTTTATGCTTAAGCGCATAAGCGATTGTAATCATATTTTGATTATAGTGAAAATCTCTTATGCTGCAAGGGGACTGGACCACTCTCATTTGGAAGGAACCAGTATAAATATCTATGTGTTATGTTATTATTTATTTGCTTCTGTTAACATTCTGGTGCAACGTATAATCAGAATCTGAACACCAGTTTAGATTCTGAACTCTGATCCGATGCAAACTAAAGAAATGGAAAACACAATTCAACCCCCCTTCTTGTGTATTTTTCTCACCTTTGCAGCAGACATGAATCTCAAATCCGTATTCTCTTCAGGTTCAGGAAACAACACAACATCATCCAAAAACATACACTCTTACAATCAGCGGTACACTGAACCAACCCTCCACACCCGAAACATCTCAGAGAAGCATAAACTCATCCCCTAATTGTTTCAATCCCACTCATGTTGGCAAGCGGTTAGGAAATAAAAACGGACATCAACGATAGTGTTCACCCACATGTCGTATGCCTAAGAAATAAACAAATTCACATAATCTATGTCGAATGGACCGACCTGCTCTGATACCAACTATGTAACACCCTAAACCCGACACCTTTGATTTAAGAAAATAAAATATGTAATTTCACACAACATTGGTGTTACACATTAATGACATGCATTTTACTCCATTTATCATACATATTAAATAGAAGTGGAACATCAAAACTCAAAATAAACATGTATTATGTCTCAAAATAAGTACTTCGTAAAATGATTCAAACATCATAAGAGAACACATCATGCAACAAAGCAACTCTTCCCATTGTTATAGATCAGAGCTCAATGAAAACTTAATAACTCGAAAAACATTAAATAAATGGAGAGGGTTCAACGTCATCCTCCAGCTCAATCAACAACTACTCCTCTACCTGATTATTTGTATCCCGAGAGACTACAAAACACCACAAAAAATTAAACATGGGTTAGAATACGCTAAAAATATGTTAACGGTGCGAAAGTAATAAAGGACAGTACACACCAAACATCAACTCGGTCATGGCATTCACAACTCTCAACAATCATCAACATATTTATAAAACAATCACAATCATCACAAAATCATAAGTACATATGTATATGCAATATACTCATCTCCTTATCACCAAATGCATGTGGTACCAACCAACTTACCAATTGGATGTCAGAGTTATATTACTGGACAATCCCATCACCAATATTTGCACCAATGTAATAAACATTCACTGGTTCCCCCTTTGAACCACATACTTGCCAATAATGTCACCGTCTAATTATGCTTTATAATTACGAATCGCCAATTCATAATCATACAAGCATTCAACAACACATACTTATACATTCACAAAATATTCACACAACTCATAAAGCATATTAATTTTTTTATTCACCAACTCATCAATCATCACCAAACAATGCCAAACGATGTTAATTAGTACCTAACATTACTAAACATTCGCCAAAATAGAACTCTTTCTAAAAATTGATTTGAAAATAGCCAACTATGCATTGTCATCCTCGCTAAGCGTGGATTCACTGGGTGGGATCTTCTTGCGCTAAGCGCAGATTTGCAGGGTCTTCGGTAAGCGCGGATGCTCGAACAGCAAAACCAAAAAACGTAAATTCCACTATCGGAATCCTATCAAAGCTCCGATTTTTGACCCCCACAATCGCCCAAATCAAACAGAAAATAACATATACATATCATACCATGATAATACATCATATATTCACTAATTAAACACCTAATCCATCACTTTATCATGAATCTAAGGTTATGTTCATAATACCAACAACACATCAACAACAATAACACAGATTCATATCATCACATCATGTAAAATTTTCAGCACAAAACAAAAGATGAATTTCATATATTTCACAGTATCAACAATGGTGTAAAAGATGAGAAAACCTATAGGAGGGTGAGAGTCTCTTTCTACTCTTCATTCATTTGACAACAATATTAGAGTAAAGATAGAGACTAAAAATAGTTTAAACACCTGACCAAAATAAATCCACATTGCTTGAAAATAGAGACTAAAGATAGTTTAAATACAACCCTCACATTCTTCAACTTAACATTGTCCCTTTTTTAACTGAACAAATTAGTGAAGATTTTCACACACATCAGACAATATCTTATATTTACAGTGGCCGCGCAGATTTGAAGTGGTATGAAACACTAACAATCTTTTCATTCCCACCAAATCAAAAGCTCTCATTTCAAAACAAAGTTGGCCATAAATCTCAAATTTGAGATAAGCGCTACATTTTCTCCTCTCTTATTCACTATGAAATTCTATTCAAAATACAACTACAATTTGTTACGTTTATACATACATTTTTGACATACTATGTCAATCTATCATATCAGAAGTTTAAGAGCAAGTTCGTCAAGTGGATGTCCTTAGCATATTGAAAATACTTGGATCTTAGATGTCATATCTACTTAATAATAACTTATTTGTTGTAGTATATCACAAAATGTGTTGCGAAAGACTATTTTACTCCTGAAATTACAAATATAATCATCAAAAACGAAGAAAATATTGCGATATCATACATTCTATTAAAAGATGTCAACCAAAATTTCTTAGATTGGGACGTTGTATGATTTTTTGTTTCATATATGATCATATGCCCTTGTGTTTATTTGCTTCTCATTGTTGATATTATAGCATTTACATGACGTAACACATCTCATCCCTTCGTTTTTTATTTTCTTTTTATATATACAAATTTATATGCAGACTATCATCGAGATGAGATGAATAGTATGAGACAATACACATGGGACAACATTTAAAGACATGGGTTAAAGCTTCTGGAATACTTGGGGTTCTCAAAATGTTGCCTCCATGGTTGGTATGAGCTCGCGAAAGATGCAAACTCAAAGTTGGAGAGTTAGTTGATAGTCATTGATGATCCATCCAAAATTTTAAAGGCTAAAATAATCAAAAATATCTAAAACATAAACTTAGTTGTTCTGGCCTGGGTCCCGGCCTCACCTCGCAGTCCAGCCCAATGATGTACGATAAAGGCCCAATGTGGTTTAAGCAGGTTGGTCGAGCACGTGACTCCTCGACAGGCAAGACATGCTCCCGTCGAGCAGAACAACGTGCCTCAAGACCTCCGCGGGAGGCGCTGCCAACCACGGTCCCTCGTCGGACAGAACAGCCCTCCGCGGACAGAATCCTCATGCCAACGAGCAGGACAACATGTCTCCCCCACGCCCTCGTGTGCTCCCCTCCACGGGAAGAACAACACACCTTCGGAGAACCTCACGAGCTCCCCTCCGCGGGGAGATCAACGTGTCATCCGCACGTTCTCCACGTGCTCCCCTCCGCGGGGACACGTTACCGACCAACTGCCAACCTCCGAAAGAGCAGATCAAACACACTTTTCGGAGATCACGGGACAGTTGAACTAGGGCGAAGACCACGTCCTGGTCTTCACTACGCCACGTAAGCCCTAGCAGTTACCTGTGTTGGGCCTGACAATCCAGCCCAACGCAGGCGACCGTTGGCCCAGCGCTGGAGTCTCTCTATAAATACCCTCTTTCACAAGAGGGTCAAGTAATTCACTTCTTACCCCTTTCTATACTTGTGATCACTCTGCCCATAAATACTTACTTTGGCATCAGAATGCCTTGCAGGTACACCCTCTCCTCCTCCTTATCACCGGTGAACAGGCAGCAGCCCAACAGAGTGTGGCCAACTAGTGATTCTCTTCTGATCAAGACAAATCATTAGTCAATGCTTATTAATTTCTCCGTTAAGTTTGGATTATGTCAGCTTTCTTATTTATGTTTACATACTATCTGTAAAAACAATTAAGTTGGCTTTATACCAACTATATTTCATTAACGTCTAATTTCCTCAAACATATTTAAGTTTTATTCCATGCATATTCTTTTCATCTTGACTCCGATTTTTCTATTAAGTGTATACATCACTATTTATGACATAAACACCAACTTTTTTTTGGAACAATAAACAACTTTACCACTTCTTAAATTTGTGAACAAATGAGCGTACATTGGCCATACCCGTGCGGTGTGTTTTTTACTAGTTATATATTAAAGCTTGAACATAATCTACCAAGTATTACTAGGTTTTAGTAATACAGAAAAATTGGAATAAGGATGAAGTTATATAAAAGGCAACATATATGACAAATACACAAGTTGATAAGCAGAAAGCAGAAATGTAAAAGAACTTCCATCTAAAAGACAAGACAGCAGTCTAGCATTTTTTAAAGAAAAAATTTAACTACTAATCTCAGGATTATCATTATTAACCAACACTAACATGTACATAAGACTGCTGTGCATATTTAGTAAACGCCATCATCAAGTAGTAAGGTTTCCCTGTCTTGCCTTGAGCACAAGTTCTTCAGTGGTGGTGCCAATGATTTCATTAGCCCTTTTGAGTCCAACACATTGATATCTACCAATAGAATCCTGAATTCCAACACGAATCACCAGTCAACAAATAAATCAAAATCTTCACAAAAAATAATAGTTGTGTTTATATGGTTCGGCAAAACATTTTTACTTTTGTCCAGATGTATGTAATTCTAGCCACATATTAATCCATGTTTCACACATCTAGTCTTGTGCGTGAGATAGGTTAGAATAATCCTCCCTTTGTAAGTCAGTGTTATACGGTTAGGTAGGTCCTAAACTCCAAGAGTTGTCATTTTCTATTTTTGTAAGATTACAAAAGTGTGATCTTACAAAAGGGAACCAGTCAGTTTTTGAAATGGTAGAATCAGTTCAGAACCAGTTTGGCTTGTAAATTTAAAACCTAAGCTCCAAACTTAATGTTCGGCCAAACTGCCCCCGGAATCAAAATTACCAAGTTTAGCAAAAAGAAACAAAGGTTCAATGATACTACTATAAAGGAAACAAACCTTGTGATTTTCCTATTCTATCTTAAAGAAACATATAAAGGAAATGAAAATAATAAAAACAAAGTTGAAGGAAAAAATGCTATTAATATTAATCAATTCTTAGATAAGAATGACAGAATTTTAGGGAATCTCACCCGACTGACGATACCCAATTTCTCTAATTTACCAACTGCATCATCCACATCAAAATCACATTCCTCCCCAAACTCTTCTTTGATTAGTTCTTCACACCAATGATCGAGATCCTGGTTCAAATTACCATACAGCTAATTTAAGTACTTCCGTAACTTGTTTTCCCAAGTTAAAAATAGAACTACTAAATAAAAAAGGGGGTGGATCGAGGGAAAAAAACAAGAATGTTAGAATCTTGTGTTCATGTACAAACCTGTCTTGTAGCTTTACCCTGTTCCATTAGAATAAAGAATGAAAGTATCACTTCTTTGACCTGGAAGAATTTCAGATTAATAGCCGTTAGATTAGATGTTTGGCTGGTGCATTGTTACACAGAAAAAAACCTAAACTCTAAGAGCATTATAATAGGCAGCACTGTCTTATTAATACAAGAGCGTACTAAAAATATATATGTCAAAATGAATGTTCATTTATTTTGATAACAAAGGGACAAGTGCATGAAGCTAATACTTACTTCTTGTTGAATGACATCATCACACAAATGAAGAAGTGTACCCTTTCCGCTGTCTAGTTGTTTGTCATACATGGACTGTGTAATCAAATTTTGGTATTGAGCCAAGTTTTGTTGGAATCTATAGAGAGAAAAAAAAAGTGGCCACAACAGTCAAACATACCTCGAAAGCTTTATCGAAACAAATCAATGACTAGAAATATATATTTAGATTAATACCTATTAAAAATAGATCCAGTTTCAAAGCTATAAGTAGATACTTTTCAACAAACAGGAGCACTTAACATACTTACGTAAAATATGTCTTGACAATATAACCAATTACTGTGGAAAGAACAGCAAATATGACCCACCAATCAGCCGAAGGCATTTCGAGTGAACTAAATACAGCAACCTGCGAAGAACATTAGATGCATTAGTTCAGGATGATGAAAACAAATAGAAATGTTCAATTTAGGTTGAAAAACTGACCAGTCCAACAACTGCTGATACAAGAAACTTGACCCAATCCATTGGAGTTAATCCGGGGTTTTTCTTTTCTGGCTGTTAAGAATTTGGTAACTAAAGTTATCGACTGTGTTTGTTGATGGAAAAGTTATTAAGTGATAATAAGAATTGGAACTTATTCAAATGTTCAACAAATGACATAACTCACAAGAACTATTTCCATATCAGCCATTGGAATGTTCTTAAAATGCTTCACAAATATTCCTCGTTCTGTTTTAGATTTGGTACTGGCTCTCCTGAAAAACAATTTCTTTATTAGATTTCAAATTTTTTGATAGAAGTTTAAGATAAAAAGGGAATATCTACCTGTAGACAACAATTATCCTATCAAATGTCGGTTCTTGGATCAAGGTCTTGCCGAGTAAATTACGGGAGCTGAAAATTGCAGCAAACAATCTCATTAAAATTTTTGATTGTGATGTGAATAAATCTGGGTTTTAATTGATGAAGATGATGAATGTAAATGATGAACTTGTTCAACTTTTCTTTTCATTTTTTTTATTTTTTTATTAAAATTTCATTAAAAAATGAAATTGCCACATAAGCTCATTTTAGCAGATTTGGATAGAAAATGGTAACGATGCAAAAGTTGTATTATATAAAGAACTAATTTGAAACAAAAAAAAAAAAAAAAACGTAAAGGATAATTTGTTACAAACGTAGGATGCACTTTGATTTTTGCCTATAATTCAAAGTTAGACTTTCACACATCGACACACCTTAGTTGCATGTTTTCAAGACGTATCCGTTCCACATAAAAGTCATCCCCAGTTCCTTCACGGATCATTTCATTGCCTTTTGAATCCTTCTTATTAGGCTTTGACTTTCTTGAAAAAATCTTTTCCAACCTGTAAGAACCACGGCCTTAAAAATGTTTCTGGAAATATGAAAGGAAAAAAACGCTCAAGAAACATGCTGTTTATACTGTGGTACATTCTCAAGTATATATTTCATGATATGCTCTTGCGTATATGGAATTGATGATACTGACTTTGATTAATGCAAACATGAAATTATTTGACATTGACCTTTTAAAGGCTTTACCGAGACAAACTGATATAATGATCAATACATCGACTTCTCATAATGGATTATTTGTTAGCATCGACTATAACATTAATTTTCCAGTCTAGGAGTTTGCTTACCTAGTAATTCTTAACAGATAAGCCCAAAATCTTCCAATGAGCATGTCCACTTTCTCCATGACAAAGTAATCAGTTGTCCGATCAATTCCAATGCCACGCCGAAAGATAACGTACTAAACCAATAGGATGTGTTAGCTTCCCATTCATAATAAAGACTTAAGTTTGAGGAGCAAAACAATTTCTTATCTATTCAAGGAATTACATATTTTCTGGTCCAATACTAAGCTTCAGTGAATGTAATGTAACTACATTAAAAGACTGCTGGATTCATAGCCATACCTTATCAGAGAAATCTGGAAGGTTATCATGATGATGCTTTTCAAAATATTTCTTCAGCAGTGTCTTGTCAAGCTTCATTAGCCAAATAAAACAGAAACTGGCAATTGTAAGAAACAAAATCAAGCATCCCAAGTAATAATGGTATTAAAGGGACATATATATTACGCACAAACCTTAGATTCATCGACAGAAATGGGAAGATTGAGAAGATATTGGCCGGAATGTGCAACCTCAATCTCATCCTCAGTCACTATCTTAAAGTTGCTCTTTTCCATTACCTGCAAGATATATGTAATTATACATTACAACCGACCTCAATTATTTTATGTTGAACTTATTGATTGGGCTAGTCTTTTTTTTTTATTCGCCTTAATTTGCTTCTCCTATTTTGTGACAATCTAAGCTCTGTTTCCCTCTCACATAACCCTGTGTTACATGCAAATCCAAGTATATAGATCTTGACATATTTATTCCTCCGAGAAAAGCCAATCGGCTATAATGCTCTGTACATTGTAACTAACTGAGCCCAAGCGTGACAACAATTCATGTTGAGTATGAGAAGCTACAACTACCAGCTTCACATTTTCACAGTGAAAAAGGCTCTATGCATTCTCCCTATAAATACTCATTCCCTTGTAATCATCATTAACAAAGTTTTCAATTACAGAATAAAAATATAGAGTCCTCTCTATTCTTCCTTCGTTTCTCTTTCTATTCAGTTCTTTCCAGTTTCTATTAAAACAGATGGAGGTGAAGAATTTCGTTCACTAATCTCACTTCTCAGTTTTCACTACCTGTGGTATCCATCAGAGAGTTACATGTCCACACACACACATCACCAAAAATGCCAAGGTGTATAGTATACATGTAGTGTCTAGAAGCATGCTTCTGTTTAGTTTCCGTTACCATTGTTAGTAAACAAAGTTACACAAGCCTTCTCACAACTTTCCGTCCCTTTCCATGAGTTTCCAACAGATTACTCTCTTATACTAATACCATAATTTTCGACAAGTTTCCAAATCTGTGTTACATTAAATTAGTAATTCACAACGCATCAACTAGAGATAGTACCTGAAATAGGTACGTCAAGAAATTCTGTTCAAGTACATCAATTTCCTCAGAAGTTAGCTTCTGTTGTTCCAACTTCTGTGCCCCATGCACAGGATCAAGGAGGGAATAGAGTTGCTGAAAACATAAACGAATCAGTTTCTCAACAACCACAATTTATACATAGGCTAAAATTAAAAAATTAATCAATCACAGAATAATACCATCAAGTCCTCAAATTGTAAAAGGTACCAAGCTCGAATCGTATACTCTACCCTCTTGGAGAGCTTCAAAAACTCAGCTCGATCGGAACTATGTTCTGCATATCAAACTCAAACACTCAAATCACAATAGAATAACAACAATAAATTCAGGCAATGCCGAACCCTAGAAAATAATTCAGAAGCAATATACCAATAAGATTTGCCAATGTCATGATGAGCCTAGGTTTAAGAACTGGAATAACAGATTCACGCTCCAATCGAATAACTTCATTCTTGTTCGGATCCAATTGTTGCGATTCTTGAGCCATTTCTTCTTGTAGTTTCAGTAACAGTATTCACAGAATCAAAACTTCAAGCAAAGAAAGCGTAATTGAATAAAGGGAAATTGTGTGCGAAACAGAGAGGTTTCAGAAAACGAAACCCGTGAAATGAGAAAAGAGTGATGAAAGGGTTAAAACGCATGCGTTTTGGAATGTAACTTTGGTTTCTTCGCGATTATGGCGAAGCGATTATTGTTGATCATAACGGTAAGTTTCAGGGGAGATGAACGAATTTGGATTTATTCGAAGTGTTTTAATTAATCACGGGGTTAAGTATATTTGTTTCGTAATCTTTAACTTTAAGTTTATTACCTAAACTACGAACTCTCTTTCATTTAATTCCTAAAGCATATTTGTAAAATCTATCAATTGAATCCTGTTATCTAGAAGATAGAGAGAAATATACTATGAGGGTAGCATTATATATTTGTATATTTAAAATGAAGAGTAAGGACACTTAAAAGACTAAATTAATTATTTATTAAATTTAAGGCTTAAATAATTTTCCTTTTTTTTTATCTTAGTCTCTCACATTTTGTTGGTTTTAGTTTTCAAAGACAAAATTTGCAGTTTACCTGTGCATTTTCATTTTAGAGATTAAAACTTACATAAAAAAACTTACATAAAAATATAGAAATTCTGACTAAAAAAAATATTACAGAAACTAAAATCAAAAATATGCCAACTATCAAACTAAAAGTGTATTTAAACCTTAAATTTATATTATTTTAATTTTTTTATAGAATTTAATTTGTATATTATATTGTATACTATCAAATAAGTATATTCGATTGATTTTTATGTAACACTTACAAATGACAATAGTGCAAAACAAGATACCGACATTTAAAAGTTATGGGGCTACAAATAAACAAAAAGAAGTATTTGATCCTCTTTAGTTAGATTTATGTCCCCAAATTATAATTTTTTTATAATGAATAATTTTGTTTAAAAAGTATATATATATATATATATATATATATATATATATATATATATATATATATATATATATATATATATATATATATATATATATATATATATATATATATATATATATATATATATATATATATATATATATATATATATAATATTTGCATTCTAAGGATTAAGTTAACGCGAATGAGAATAATATATGGATGTGAGTTAGAGAGTAGGGATGTCAATTGGCTAGGTGATATTTCTCCATCTTTGTCCCCACCCCTAAACCCATTCCCCGTCTCCGTCCCCAATTCCTATCACGGGGGAGTTTGTATCCCTATCCTCGTTTCCCACAGATCCTACTTTTTTCTATAAGCAATTTATATGAACAAATTTATGAGAATAAATCCTATTGATGTAATTGTAAGAGTTGTGAATAATGGTAGCACATGATACAGAGGAGACGATGGACGATGATGAGGCGCGGCATAGAAGCTTGATGATGAAGTTGAATGGAGGTTTGACGTTAGAAAAAATAAATAAATGAGTCTGATAGAAGAAAATGAACGCTTCAACTTTTTTTAGGGTTTTAATATTTATATTTTTCTCTCTTAATAAATATATTAATATTTATTTATTTTTAAAAATAAACATAAATGAAATGACAAAAAAACTCAATGTAAAATATAAATTATATATTAAATTACTATACTAAAAGAAATAAGCGGGGCGGGGATGTATTCCACGTCCCCGTCCTTGAAGTGCTCTCGGAAGATTTTTTTTTCTACATCCCCATCCTCGCGGAGGTGTAATTTTCCATCTTTGGGGCACTGAACGGAGCAATCTCCGCGGGGATCCCCACTAACAGATGCAAACTGACATTCTTAACTCAGACTCATGTTTACATAGAGGTGGTGGTTAGAACCCGTCACCTTGGCATAGATGCAGAACACCGTTGGATATGGTTCAACGATAGATATGGGCCCAGAATGTGCACTCCTATGCAAAGCTCCAGGGTGGAGGTATATATGTTCGTCAGTTAGTGAAGAGTCTTGGTTGGATTGGACTATTGTATTGGGTATTTGACTAGGTCAGAATAGTTGCTCTTAAGTCTCGCTATTAGTGATTTAGTGAGGAATGTTGAAGTAGTACTTTTGAGATCGGTTTCAACACGGGTTTTGTTGAGGAGATATCCCTGGGAAGGAAAGGGGCTCTATTGTAGCGTTAAGTGGGATGATATTGGGAAGATGTGCATTTAATGCTAATTGTCCAACTGAAATGTAACGCCCGACTTATTTTATTTATTTTTCCGTAATTTAATTATGTGATGGTGAATATATGTGTTTATCAATGTTTTTGGTGTGTTGGGGTACCCTGTGGTAAATGGTAGTGATCTTAGAATTATAAACTTTAAGGGTTGAGGGGTGTGTGACAAAAAGTGTAGAATTTGGTGGTGTGGTGAGTAAGACTAACTAATTTATATTAGTTACTATATATTTAATTTTATATATTTAATTAAATAATAGGAGGCAAATATTATTTAAATAAATATTTAGCGCCATTATTATTATCATTATATAATTTAGTGGGTTTAATAATAATAATAATAATAATAATAGAAGAGAGAGAGAGATACAGAGAGAGAGAGAGAGAGAGAGAGAGGAGAAGTTATCAAATAGTGAAAAATCGAGAAAAGTGAGAAAAAATGGAGAAAGATTCTAGGGCATAAGGAGGAAGAAAGAAGCCTCTATTGTTGAGGTGGAATAATTTTAAGAACTCTAAGGTAAGGGTGAGGTTCTAATTTTTTAAGGGTTAGTATGATGAATGGTGGGTGGATTATTTCGATGCTTGTTGTATGTTTCTCTTCTCTCTATGCTATGAACATTGTTGTAATTGTATGTTGATGAATTGAATCTTTGAATTCTGAATTTTGTATGGTATGTTGATGTTGTATTCGACGTTTGATTGTGGTATTCATTGTGTTGTTTCTGTTGGAATTATGATTTGAAGAAATCGTTGATGTCGATGTTGTGTTATTGTGTGTGATCACGAGTCAGAGTCGGAAAGACTGGGGAATTAAATGCTTGGAAAAGTAAATTTGCATAGTAAAATGTTGTGCAAGTAATTTATGGGGAAAACAGGTTTTTGGAATGGCTCAAAACTGATTTTCGTGTAAAAATTTGCAGAAAAGGTGATTTTGCATACAGTATAATCGGTTACCATGATTGGAGTAACCTGTTACACTGTTCTTAAAATGTATTTTTTGGGGGAAAATGTGAGGGTGTAATCGGTTACCCTAATTTAGGTAACTGGTTACACTGTGTGAATTTTGTGTGGCAGCAGCTGGTTACAAGGGGTGTAATCGGTTACCTCATTTTGAGTAACCAGTTACACTGAGACCAATTTTGAAAAATATTCAGAAATTCATAACTTTTGTTCTGGGAGCCCGATTCGAGTGTCATTCGAAGCGTCAGAAAGTTGATATGGTGAACTTTAATATAAAAATAGCTTCGGTGACAGAAGTTAAATAGTTATGTTGTTATTAGGTTAAATGCATTACTATTGTTATATTGTGGTGTGATATAATTGTAAATGCCTTGTAGATGCTTACTATGTTGTATGTCGTTGTTGTTGGACGGTATGGCATGTTGTGTTATAGCCTGTAATGGCATGATGCATTTATTAGATGATGGTCGTTGTTGTTGTTATCATGTATTTCATAATTGCATGAGTTGTGAGATAAGTCGTGTGCTCATGTGGGGTGTGAGCATCTTATCCGGATTCTAGTTGTAGAAGCGTGTTATTGTTGAGGTGATTGTGTGCTCATGTGGGGTATGAGCAATCATGGAAGTCGTGTGCCCGTGTGGAGTGTGAGTGACATAATGGAAATTCTGGCAGAAATTGTGATTCTAAAATAGGGATCGAGTTCGGAAATAGGAATCGAATGGTACCACATGCATTGAGTCGAGTTGTGGGTCTCATTACATTGCATTTTAGTTGTATTTGTTGTTGAGTTGGATTTTGGTTGTGTTGGTTGTGTGAATGTATGTTGTGGAATGGGTGTTTGTGCATGTAATAATTTGTTGCTTACTTATTATCATGTTTTCCTTAATATAATTATGATATCTCACCTCTTCTGTTTGATGTGTAACACCGGGATTATGGAACGTTATGTCTGTTATGTTGTGATAGATATTTTTGGATATCTATAGATTTGTAGTTGCTTATGTTTATTTTTAAATCATAATTATATTATGAATAATTATTTGATTTTGATGCTTCTGTTGTTTTAATAAAAGTTATGTTTCAAACATGTTTGGTTGTTGTAGTTGGTATAAATAATTTTTAAAAGTTGCATGTGTTACATATCATGTATATGAGTAGTAGATTATGGTTTTATGTGACATCCTAAATATAATTTCGAATTTTCACTGTTTTATATTCAAATATGAGGGGTATATTTGGGGTGTTACATTAGTGGTATTAGAGCAAGTCGGGTCGTCCGGACAGGTTGTTTAAATGTGGTTGTTCCGTAGTATGCGACACGTGTGTGAAAACGTTGTCGATGCTTGTTTTTTTTTCTATTTACAGGTTAGGAATGAAACAAGTGGGGGAGAAGCGTCTGCTTCTCATGGATATTTCAACTGTAGAGAGATTAGACATCGTGATGTTGCCTGCGAGAGTGCAGTGTTGGCTGTTTCAACTGTTTTGAGAATGTTGTGTTGTTCCTGAATCCAGATGGAGGTCGAATTCGAGGATAGTGTCAGTTGGCAAAATGGCACGATCCTTGAAGGAAGACGGTCAGGTGTTCTAGTTGTTCGCTTCCTTGTGAAGGGGAAGGCGTTGTTTTTACTAGAGATGGGCCAGTGGTGTGTTGTGTATCCTGACGTGTTTCTTAAGGATGAGCGTGGTTTTCCTTTCATTGTAACAAGTTGATGTTATTCTTAGAATGAATTGGTTGGATTTCAATCATGTTCATATCAATTGTTATAACAAGTCGAAAAGGTTTCTTGCTCTTGATAATGAGGAAGAAGCTGATTTCTTGTCTACTAGAGAGTTGG